GCATCCTGTTAATTAATCTTCCCTACCAATTGCTTGAGGCTTTGTGACTCTTACCTGTGTGGTATCCATCCTAAGTGTGTGGAAGAAACAACAAGCAAAAGAGGAAAAGCAACCATAGGAAGTAAGCTCGTCGGTGGTCGGTCACCTCTCGATTTTGGTGTTGAATTTGATGTTTAATGGTTAACTGAGCCCGGAAATCACCTTGAGCAGCTAGAGGAAGATCCTAACATCTGGTATCAGAGCTTGGGTAGCAAAAAAGGGCTCAAAATCGGCTGATTTTCGGACATTAAACATAGAACCCGAATCTGAAAAGCTTCAATTACTCACAAACCAAAGCTCGGTTGGACAAACGGAGGCCATACCCATTACTAGCAGGTCGAGGCGCCCCTGGTGAGGCGGCGCGTGGGCGGTTGTCCGATGAAACTGTCTTAAGGTAACTTGCTTGTTTCGATCTCCTGAACGCGCTGATATACTTTGTTTTGTGTTTCAGGTTACACATAAAAAGTTGGACGATTTTGCCCCTGGTGCGACGCCGACTGAAATTCAACAGCAAGCTCGTTTTTCTCCACTCTACAGACTCAGATAGGTCCGCTCTGGTAAATTGGCTTAATCCATTTAAATTCAGCAATAGCAAGATCATCGGGTGGGGTGATCGTTAGGTTTTGGGGTTACCGTGAAAGGGTAACCATTGCTTGTGCTAGAACTAGGATTACTTGCGTTAATTGAGTACTTGTTCTTTTGATTTAAAGTGCTTGGTATTTCTTGGTGGACGTAGCGTTTAGGTTCATTGTTACTTTTGCTAAGAATTAACAAGATATTACCTTATCACGCTTCCCAATACTACTTCGTGTGGTTTAATTAGTGTGTTAACCAATGACAACACATAATTTTGATTTGGGAATATTTAATGGTAAAGGGGACTTCTCTATCTGGCAATAAAAGATGAGATGCATATTAGTCCAACAAAAGGTGTCAAAAGCCATCGAAGGCAATTTTGCACCTGACATCTCAAAAGAACAAAAAGAGGAAGCCGATAAGCTTGCCTATACCTCAATAATATTAAACTTGTCTGACGCCGTCTTTAGAAAAGTGGGAAAACTAAAAACCACCAAAGAACTTTGGAAAAGACTAGAAGACTTATACTTGCTTAAATTTACACCGAATAAACTCTACCTACTCGAACGATTCTTCAGCTTTAAAATGGATCCTTCAAAGGATCTCGACGACAATCTAGATGTATTTAATAAATTGGTGCAAGATATTGTCAATTGTGACGAAGCCGTGTCTGAAACCTATAAGGCCATTATCTTGCTCAATTCAATCCCGGACTCTTATAAAGAAGTTAAAAATGCCATTAAGTATGGTAGGGACACGTTAACACCTGAAATTGTCGTAGATTCTCTTAGGAGTAAGGAGATGAAAATAAGGGCTAAAAAACAGGATAGGAGGAGTGGAGAGTTGCATATGATGCGGGGTAGAACTCAATTTAGGCAAGCCAGTCATGATGGATACCAAGGTAGTGGCGAATCAAGTAGTAATTGTTGGAAAAAGAAGGGGAATAGTAGACCTAGGTCAAAGTCTAGAATTAAGGCTAGAAAATGCTATGGCTGTGGAGGCACAGGGCATTTTATAAAAGACTGTCATAAAGAAAAGGGAAAACAAAAGGTTAAGGAAAGAGATGAGGTAAATGTGTTATCCTCTACCTCCGATACCGAAAACGGTGAAATCTATGTGATCACTAGTCCAGTCGCATACACTACTGAATTAAATCTAACTACTAATTCTCACATGCATGAATGGATATTAGATTCTGGTGCGTCTTTTCATGTGACGTCTGAAAAGAACTGGTTTGAAAACTTGCAAGAATCTAATGATGGGCAAGTAGTTCTGTGTGATAACTTTGCCTATACAATTGCTGGAATTGGAGATATAAAGATAAAATTTAACACAGGCTTTGTGTACATGTTAAAGGAAGTTAGATACATTCCTGAATTATCTAGGAATTTAATTTCAGTAGGAAGACTTGAGAAAGACAACTTCACCGGTAAAATTGAAAACGGTATGTTTAAAATGATGAAAGGTGCGCTAATCTCTATTAAGGGAATCAAGAAAAACGACATTTACATCACTACTGGGGAAGTGATTAGAGGATTAAACTCCTCTATTTTTTCCGCCAAAATCGATCACACACATACGTGGTATAGTAGGCTTGCACACGTAAGCATTAAAGGACTTAAGCTACTTAATGAAAAAGGTGCATTTGGTAATGACCGTGTGTCTGACCTATCGTTCTGTGGTCACTGTGTGCTTGGAAAGCACCATAGAGTGTCATTCTCCACTAGTACGCATAAGGTTAAAAGCATGCTTGAATATGTGCATTCTGATCTATGGGGTCCTGCTAGTAATCCCACATCGAGTGGGAATAGGTATTTCCTATCTATCATAGATGACTACACCAGGAAAGTGTGGGTCTATCTATTGAAAGACAAAACTGAAACCTTCCATAACTTTAACAACTGGAAGAAACAAATGGAAAACCAAACTAGCAAGAGGATCAAATTTTTAAGGACAGATAACGGCCTAGAATTCCGTAATGCTGAATTCGATAGGATGTGTAAAGAAAGTGGAATAACAAGGCACAAAACGGTTCCTTATACTCCCCAACAAAATGGGGTAGCAGAAAGAATGAATAGGACCATACTAGACAAAGTGCGCTGCATGATGTTAAGTTCTGGGGTTCCTAAGTCATTTTGGGGTGAAGCCGTTGTAATTGCCTGTTATTTAATAAATTTGACTCCATCGGCTGCATTAAATGGTGATACTCCACATGAGAAATGGTCTGGAAAATTGGGTGACTCAATGCTTAAAGCGTTTGGCTGTGCTGCGTTCTCTCATCAAAGTGAGGGAAAGTTAGAACTTAGAGCCAGGAAGTGTGTCTTTCTAGGATATCCCGAAGGGGTTAAGGGCTATAGGCTATGGGATAGAAGCCAAAAAGGAGTTAAGATCATCGTGAGTAGGGATTTCACATTTAATGAGAGTGAGATGCCTTGTCTGAGGAACGAAACCGAACCTGTAAGTGAAACTGAATCAGGTGAAGAAAGAAATCGGTTCAAGGTGGAGTTAGGAAAATTTAACACATCAGTACCTAGTACTTCGAGTGAGGTGGAGATTCAGGTCCAAGAACTTGAAGAGGAAAATGAAGTAGTGATAGAAGAGCATCCTGAGGAAGAAAATCCATTAGCCAACTATAATTTAGTTAGAGATAGAGAGAGAAGACAAACGAGAGAACCTAGGAGGTTCGGGTATGAATCTGAATTGGATTTTGCATACGCTAGTTACGAAGAACTAGTTGATAGGGAGCCGAAAACTTTTGAAGAGGCTATGAATAGTGGTCAATCTAAGGAGTGGCTTAAGGCTATGAAAGAAGAGATGAGTTCTCTAGAAAAGAATCAAACTTGGGAGTTAGTACCGAGACCTAAGAATAAATCAATCGTTGATTGCAAGTGGGTCTTTAAGGTTAAGGAAGGTACTAGTAGTACAGAACCCTTAAGATTTAAGGCTAGGTTAGTAGCGAAGGGTTACACACAGAAAGAAGGTGTTGATTATAACGAAATTTTCTCACCAGTTGTCAAGTACACTACTATTAGGGTCGTGCTCGCATTGGTTGCGCTCTTTGACTGGGAACTTGAACAACTCGATGTAAAAGCCGCTTTTTTACATGGAGAGCTTGATGAATAAATCTTTATGAATCAACCAAAAGGTTGTAAAGACAAGTTAAAATCTGATTATGTGTGTTTTCTAAAGAGATCCCTATACGGTCTAAAGCAATCACCTAGACAGTGGTACAAGAGGTTTGATTCCTTTGTACTCACTATAGGATTTCAAAGAAGTAAATTCGATCATTGCCTATACTTTCAACACAACAAGACTGATAACAATTATTTGTTCTTGTTGCTCTATGTGGACGACATTCTTTTAGTTGGATCATCTCCTAAGTGGATAAACAATATAAAAGCAGATCTTAGTGGAGAATTTGACATGAAAGACCTAGGAAAGGCTAAAAGGATTCTAGGCATGGAAATAGAATGAAATAGGTCAAATTCCATCGTATTCTTGCATCAGTCTCCATACATATCAAAGGTGTTGAAAAGGTTTAATATGAGTGACTGCAAACCTGTCACGTTGCCTCTTGCAAACCATTTTGTTCTATCTAAAGAACAAGCTCCCTGCAATGAACGTGAAGTGGAATACATGAGTAAAATTCCATACTCAAATGTGATTGGTTCCATAATGTATTTGATGGTTTGCACTAGATCGGACTTAGGATTCGCTGTTAGTACTCTCAGTAGGTACATGTCTAATATAGGTCCTGAACATTGGGAAGCATTAAAGTGGCTTTTAAGATATTTGAGGGTACAAGTGATGTAGGTCTAAAATTTAGTGCTAATAAGGAAGGCGTGAAATTAAAGGGTTTTGTAGATGCTGACTATGCAGGAGATAGGGATGGTAGGAAATCAACTTCCTTTTACGTATTCACCTTATCAAATTCGTGTGTTAGTTGGAAATCACAGTTACAACACATAGTTGCACTATCCACTACAGAGTCAGAATATATTGCCACCACTGAAGCAATTAAAGAGGCTCTATGGCTTAGAGGTCTACTTCATGAACTGTGTGTCTTGAATGAGTATGTGGTTGTGTATTCTGATAGTCAGTCATCCATACATCTGTGTAAGAATCCTGTTTTTCACGAACGCACTAAACATATCAATGTTAGACTACACTTCATTAGGGATATAATATCTCAAGAAGTAGTAAGACTTGAAAAAATTCACACACAATATAATCCTTTAGATATGGGCATAAAAGTGCTGCCACTTGTAAAGTTTAGAAGTTGCAAGGAGCTTCTAAATATCGGTACAGGTAAATGATTTCCAATTTTATCAGTTTTCTGTTAGAGGTGTCACTAATGGAAAACGTTTTTCTTTGCAGGTCCTTTGACACCAAGGTGGAGGTTGTTAGACATTATGTTGTCAAACGACCTCCCGGGCGATGATGAAAACCAATTTTATCAGTCGACATGAATGACTGAACGATAAATCAACACCGAATAATGAGATGACCCGACCTAGCGTTGCTTTACCTATTGGAGGGCTAATAATCTTTGTGGCTTGTTGGTGTGCTATTGGGACTTAACCCTAGTCGAGCCTACTTACCATATTGTGACTTACCTTAAGTTGGCCATTGGACTATTATAAATTGGTAACTCCCTTTGTTGTGTTGAACCCGTGCGTGAGAGAACCCGAGAGAGAGAGGCAGTCTTCTTCTTCTTCTCCTTCATGCATCTTGTTAATTAATCTTCCCTACCAATTGCTTGAGGCTTTGTGACTCTTACCTGTGTGGTATCCATCCTAAGTGTGTGGAAGAAACAACAAGCAAAAGAGGAAAAGCAACCATAGGAAGTAAGCTCGCCGGCGGTCGGTCACCTCTCGATTTTGGTGTTGAATTTGATGTATGGTTAAATGAGCCCGGAAATCACCTTGAGCAGCTAGAGGAAGATCCTAACACCTCCATTTATATGCAAAAATTCATAAACTTTTTTTTTCATAGAATAAGAAAACTATGATTTGGTTACATGAAAATGAGTAATGTTATTCATAGTAAAGACTACTGGTACTCACTCTATGTGATATACATTTGACAATTTGTTGTTTAATGCATTAATAAGATAGTTTTTTTTTATTATCTCATCAATCAAATAACAAATTGTCATGTGTATGCCATGTATAATGACTACCGGTAGTTTTCACTATGAATAACATTATTTCATAAAGATATACTGATAATCAATGATATTCTCTACATCTTTCATTAAAATGTTATAGCACACGCATACATACATTGGAGATGTGTTGGAAGAAAGCCTAGATTTATTAAATGCCACATTTTAAAGCAGTTCACTATGTACTAGGAAAGAGTTGTCAATTTTAGGGAAAAAAAAGAAAAGTACTAGTATAAAATAATCAACCATGTTTGGCTAAGCCAAACGTGTACTTCTTATCAAACCTACCCAGTCTGTAATGAAGTATTTGACTCGAAGGCTTCTTATTACTCCTTCCTTGCAGAATCAAATGTTCTAAAGATATGCATGTTTATTGTTAATTGCTTTCAATCTATGAATTTAGAGAACTTCTAACGACGAATGGTGACATACCTAACTGAAAAATCAAATAAAGTTGTAGCTATGAGTGCTACTGATGGTCTGATAAGAGAGGATGGAACTAAAAATATTATTTCCAATTATTTAGATCACAAACAAACTTAGGTCATGATATATGTCCCCCCGTGTTTTCTGTTGAGTACTTGAAAACTTTTAATTTAGACAAGACAAAAATTGCAAGCTTAAACGTCAAACTTTAGAAGAAAACTTACAACAAACAAAAATTTTCCGTCTGATCATGAATCTTCATCTGATCCTCTTACAAGAGCACGTAAAGTCTATCTTCTTGAAAGACTGGTGCTATCCAATTCTTCCCAATTTTTCAAAGAATCGGCACTAGAAGTTCCAAATTGTGATTGAAATCTCAGAACCTCTTGCTCTTGTTGCTGGTTTTGTTGTTGAGTTGGCAATACTGGAGATATCGTTGTTGTATTTGATGAAGATTGTGAAACAAATGTTCCACCATAACCACGATAATAAAACCCCGAGGCACCATAGTTCAAAAAATTATTATTAACTCCTCTATGGAGATATTCTGCATAGTTCTGGAAATTGATATGACTTTCTTGAGATACCGGCCGAGGGATTGGAGTAGTAGTTGACTCAGAAACAATTCGTAAATCTTGACGCGTTGTTAAGTAACCAGACTCAGTTTTTCCTTGCACTCTTTCAGGAAAATTGAGCTTAGCTTTGCTTCCTTTAAATCTTAGTGCTGCTTCATCATAAGCATGAGCGGCAGCCTCTGCAGTGTCAAATGTTCCAAGCCAGACTCTTGCAGCCTTCTTTGGATCCCGGATTTCGGCCGCCCACTTACCCCAAGGCCGCTGCCGGACACCTCTATACCGTCTTCTCCTCTGCAGGTTTGGTCTCCCTTTATATAATGTTTGATCAGTAAAAAAATTAGGAAAAAAATCATTTGCTGCAAAGTTCAACTGTAGATAATCCTAGAAAAATTACATATCCATATGCTCCTATCAAATAAAAAACAGACACATCAAACAACTGATGCATCATTAGAATGACATAAGATGTTAAGGATTAAACCCCGATTGTAATTAGGGGAGAAATATTATGCAAAACGAGATCAGAAAAGTATATAACCAAACACAGACTTAGAGTGGTTAGCCCTCAAAGAGCTACAGTCATTTGCTGCGCCAAGTTTTTACTACGAAGAAGATGATTACGATGGTAATCTCTTGCATCTCGGTTTGTCTCTCAAAAAAATAATCCTCCAAAGAATCCCTTATTATATAGAAAGATGTTAGGTCGATTCCTGGTCGAAAGGATTTGCGATCTATATATATAGATATATACTCTTACGTTTTATACCTTCTTGTTGAACTGCTGGTTGAGGTTGGTTTTGCTCTTGTCCACTTGAAGATTCAGGCAGTGGTAATGGAAGATTTCCATATACTGTAGGAACCGCAGGATTACTGTATGAGTTACCAATAACATGAGAGAGGGCAGAAACCATGGCTGACGTTTCACGTTGTGATCTAGCAGAGTAGATAGGATACAGTTCTATTCTCTCCTTTTCCTCCGATTCATCAAACGGAAGGGGCCTCTTTGCCATGCCTTCGATCCACTGTTTTCCCCTTTAATTATGACAGTGAAGTACTTCAAAGAGAATACGTATAAATTACAGGCTGAAGAAGGAGATTTTAGAGTTTTCTACATGATATACAAGATGTCTGTAAGCTTTAAAAAGGATGGAAATCAAGAAGGAATTTCTAGGGTTTTCTAAAACAGCTGCAGTATCTGTGGAAATTAGGAATGTTTGATCGTACTTTTGCAAACCTATGACTCGTGTTATCTCCTAATTAATTACTGGGGTCATATTTTCTCAAAATTTTATTTTATTGCATCACTTTTTATTTGCATAATTAGTCTTCAATTTTTATTTATTGTCACGTTCTTATCCTCACTCTTCTAGTAATTAGCACATTTGATCTTCTTGTTGTTGGTTTCTGTCCAAATATTCGAGTAAATATTTTATAACATTTCGTATTTATTATTATTTTTTTTGCTTATTTACGTTATTTTATACCCTTCTACTGAATTGTTCGGACAAAAATCGTTAGTGTTCGCATGATATGCTAATTAATGATAATTGATGATGGGACGATAAAAATTTAGATATTAATGTGAGAATGGAAAAATATTTAAAGCCTTTAGCGCAATTAAAAAGTGACGAAACAAAAGAAAATTATGGTGGAATTATGTAACCACCTTGATAATTATTAGGGGCAAACAAACACACGGCTTATAAATCTAGACCATTTTTTAATTTTTTGTCTTTGAGATTTTACTTTTATTGAAAACAAGAAAAAAACCAATATTTTAAAAACTTTTGAGCATTAACCTAAAATGCAGGCACAAAGGTTAAAAAATCGAATCGATAGTCATAAGAAAATTAAATAAATTAGTAAAATTGAAAATTGGAGTGAACTTAATGTTTCTAAGCGAATCATTTGGTTTTGGTGCTAGAGAATGAACCAAGTGGTTCTCAACTTCTTTTTACGAGTTATATATGTTTGAGTTTTTAGATTTAATCAATTTGAAATTTGGAGTATCTTTTGATTTTTTCAATCGAAGTCGTTTGCCTTGTTCACTTATTATCGCACTGGAAAAATCACGAGAAGTTAGCTCAGAAACAAAGAAATCGTCACTAGAAGCATAAAACCACTTTAGACTAGTCGTTCATTTCAATTATAATGAAAAATTAAATCGAGGGAAAAACCCGCTTTTTTGTTTTGCAAAATACAACTAGAGACAACAATTAATCTAGGAAGTATTTTAATTGTTCGGTGAATTTAGCCTCAAATTTATAAATGGTCAATCATACGTTTTAATGGATCCACAAGTATTATTCATTATTCATTTCAATCTACTTATAATCAAATCATTTATAAATTCTTCCCAAACAAAGGCTTAGTTAGTACCTTCCCAACATGTCAATAATATCAGAGAAACAGGAAATTATAGAAATGAAGAAGAATAAAATTTGTTCTATAATTTTAATTTTAATTGTTGCGCGCATTAAGGTAGAATAAAATCAATGGCAATGGTAGAGCCATTGCAATAAAATATTAGAAAATAGAATATTGAAAATCACATTTTTAAGGGGGGAAAAACATTGTGGTGACTGGAAGTCAATGGTACAAATATATAGAAAAAAACTAATCTTCTTTCAAAATATGCAGTATTAAGTAAAAGATTTCGAGCAATTATTTCAAGTTTTTCCCTTCCTCTTAACAAGGAGAGAAAAGATTTCACCCCTCCCTCCTAAATAATTTTAATATTTTAGCATTGTGGTCAATTATCAATTTGCTACTGGATGATACTGGTGTTTGATTATAATTTTAAAAAAATAAAATTGGTTTAAAAGTTATGTATTGAACGTAAGAATCGTGGAGTCATTCTGTGGACATAAGATTCTAGTAGAGAGAAATAACTTATTATATATATAATATTTTGACATGTCTCATTAATTTCAACTTTTATGCACTTACGATTTCAAGATTTCTTATTTCAAACATGCTACAGACAGAACATGTTTCATAACTTTATTGACAGCTCTCTCACATGAGAGAGTGGTACCCACGATTATTTTAATCACAGACCCCACATTTTGTAAGAGGGCTGTCAACAAAAATTGCTGTACACTTAGCGTTTTTTTTTTTTTTTTCACCCTCACAACTAAATTTGTCCCCTTCTAATAAAAAATTAAATAAATGCATGCCCTAACACAATATTTTAAATGGTGCAAAAATTGAGGTCTAGGCAAGAGGTAGGCGAGGCATGAAAAAAGTGATAAACTCTAGAAGATGGAATTAACAATCATTGAATAAAATATATTAAAATAAAAAAAAATTTAAACTCGTAAAATTTGAAATTTAACTTTACAGCTTACCACGCCTTGTGACTTTTAAAATTTTGTATTCCTTTGAATTTAGCGAATTACTTATTTATTTATTTTATTATTATTATTATTTTTTCGAATAAACCCGTCAACCTTTTTCAAAATATAAATCCTACTGTAACTATGCGAGAAAGAGAATAAAGGGAAGGGATGAAAGTCAAATTAACTTTTTCTTCAAGCCTGACTTCGCAGTGAGAAAATTTTTCGAATTTTGCTAAAATACAGGGCCACGTAGGTCCTGTTTGAGAAGAATTGTTCATTTTTTTCTTGGCCTTTTCTTCCTTTCCAGTTTCAAGTAACGACGACTTTGACTTTTAGACAGCCCGTTCTACGTTGCAGATTTTCTCCTTACATTAAAATTTCAAATCAAAATTACTAATTAATCTACATTAAAATGTACTAAAAAGATTTGATTTTGATCTACATTGAACAGAGGCTCTATGTGATTTGAATTTCAGATTGCAATAAAAAGTTTCTGAGGAAAAAGAAGCGAATAAAATATTTTCTTGCTTTACTTAGAAAGCGTCAATGCAAATAAATAATTTTTTTATTTCATATTTACCTTAGTGAATGTTAAGTTTAGAAGTAAAACAAATATCTTTTAGAAGTAAATTTTTATTGAGAAAAAAGATTTTAATTTTTTCTCACCAATAAGTAAAAATACACATTTATTAATTTCAATCGTGATGTATAGAGACACTTTCATGGTAAGTAATTTACTTATTTATCACATCAACCAATAAAAATGCATTTTTTTCAATGTTTACATATTACTTACAAAAACTTATTTAGCCGTCATTATTTAGGAAAAACAATGTTTTAAATAATAATTTTTAAAAGAACGTGAGATTAAAAAGCAAGGAAAGGTTTAGAATTTTCTTACAAAGTATTTTACCGTGTGAATGTAAATTTTTTTTCAAATAATGTCGAATAGAGCTTAGAATCAAATTTTTAAGCCTTGTGAGGTGGATCACTTAAATCCACTTGACACAATAATTGGTGTTGAGCACTTTGTAAAGATTGTGCTAGTTGATGGTATTATGGATCATAGATTAAATCCAACGGTTGGATTTGGTTGGATTTAATCTTATTACGGGTTCGGGTGAATTGGCTGGAGGGATAGTGCTCGAGTACTTAACCTTGAGGACTTATGAGATAGAGTTGAGTCCTCGGGGTAAATTCCCCCGATGACATGAAACCCCAAGGACTATACCTCAGAATTGAATTATAAGATTAAAAGTGTCCTCGAGATAAGAGTCGTCGAGACATGTCAATCCTCGAGTATACAACTTGGCAATATCAGTAACCAACTAACACTACACCAAAAGTAAATCGTTGCCAAAACATTAACAGCAACGCGTATTGCACATTGCTAAAAAAATTTGCGACAACAGACCCCAAACATTGCAAAAAGTTGTATTAGCAACCTTCATTAAAAAAAGTTGTCAAAACTCAATTTGGTGAATAAATACCAACATATACTTGTTAAATGTTGCGATAGACCCCTTTTAGCAATATTCAATTAATAAATGTTTTCTTTTACATGTTATGATAAGTGTGTTTTTGCACACTTATTTACATCACAAACATGACTTAAATACAGGTAAATTGATTTAATTGTTACTTAACCTTTTCAAATTCATGCAATGTAGGAAATTCTATGGAAATAGTGGAATTCAGGAGAAAAGAGCCGAAAAAGGACCAAATTGAAGCAAAGAGAAAATTTAGGGACCAAATTACAATTATCTGAAAGTTGATCCGATGAACACATCAAGCAATTGATCAAGCCAAGCACCAATTGGAAGTTATAAGGGACCATTGGAGCAACTAGGAACAAGAGAGAAGGTCAAGGAGTGAAGGAATGAAACTTGAGGACCAAAATGACTCAAACAAGAAAGTAACTCCACTATGCGGTCGCATAGTATAAAACCTATGCGACCGCGAGTGAACCTCCAGGGATTAAAAAGGACGTTTTCCTTAAACCTATGCGGTCGCATAGGTTATGCCTATGCGATCACATAGGTATAAATTTTCCCGAATTTTGCACTTTCCTTATACGATTGCAACTCCTTTGGTAACCTAATTTGGACGGGTTTAAATAGCAACAAGACGTCCAGAAGCCGCAAGAACGACTTGGGAGGCAAAATCATTCATTCTTGGAGTGGAATTGAAGGCAAGAACAAGCAATTGATGCGAGATTTACGAGAATTCTTCAACATTTGATAACCCGGTGATGTATTTTAGTTTTATTTTGTTAGTTTTCGTTATTTTTATCATGATAGGCTAGATTTTTGCAACTAGGTGATCGATGAACCATGTAATTTTCATTAAACTTGCTATTTATGATTTTGAATTATTAGTTTGATGTATATTTGAATGGATTATATTAATTTATTTATTTCCACAATTAATGTGCACTTGATTTGTGTGAACTTGGTGGTTTAATTCTGAATTTGAGAAAATTAGATTAGACTCGACATATATAATTCATCATAGGGTCCGATAGGGGATAGAAATATATCCTTATGCCCTATATAAATCTTTAATTGCTCACAAAAAGATTATATGCGTTCTTGTAAAATTGCATCCGTCATAGAGATATAGGCTGATGATTTATGAGAATAGGTTCAATACATCTCGAGAGAGAGTATTGAATAGATTTAGGAGCATTGATTTATCAAATTCTTATTGAATTATCAAAATTGTGAAATTAGGATTTAATTGGTAATTATTTGGGGATTCGTGATCCTAGTGCATTTGTTTTACATAGATTTTCATAAATTGACAATACATTTCATTGATTGTTCATAACATTTCGTAATTGAGTCATTAGTTAAGTGAATTTAAGTAATTAGGGTTTGATTTGAAATTAGAGGTTTTCAAGTTGGGGATTTTCCCCAATTTAGGGTTTTTATTGAAATTAGGGTTTTTCAATTTGGGGATTTCTCCCAAAATTAGGGTTTTTGATTCCAAAATTCATTTCAACTCAATTAGTTTCGGATAAGGTTAAAATAAGTAAAATTGAATTAACCAATCTCTGTGGGACGATATTCGGACTCAATTGATCCACTTTATTATTTGTTAACGAACCATACACTTGCGGTAATTTAAATCGAAAGAAATATTTCGCGAACAAGGTTTTGACGTCGTTGCCGGGGATTGAGTTTAGTTTAATTTTATTTCTTGAGGCACTAATTCGAACTTAATTTTTTTTATTTAGCATAATTTTGTGTTTATTTTTATTTTAGTTTATTTTTCTCTATTTGTATTTTAGTTAATTAAATTGTTTGAATCTAAGTGCTCATACTGGTTTTAATTCTCAGATTTGCATGTCACGATTGCCTGGAGGAGAATTGATTCCAGCTGATCCTGAAATTGAGCTCACTTTTCACCGACGACAAAGAAATCACCGCGAAGCACAAGTACAAATGACCAACGAGTTAAACAATCCCATGATTCATACTAACGAAGGAGAGGCAATGGACGAAGGGAATGAGATTCTGGGGGATTTCTTGACTCTTCAAGTGATTCAAAGTCAGTCCAGCATAGTGTATCCACCGTTTGGGCAACCTAATTTTCAGTTGAAGACCAATGTAATACAGCTGTTTCAAAATGGACACCATTTCTATGGCAAGGCTGAGGAGAACCCACACACACATGTATCTCGATTTCTGGATATGTGTCAACATTTCAGATATCAAGGGATTTTGGATGACGCTATTAGGTTGAGGCTCTTTCCACATACATTACGAGATCGAGCACTTGAATGGTTGGATTCACTCCTGGTTGCAAGTATCACTACATAGAATGAGTTGGCACACAAGTTCTGCACAAAGTTCTTCTCCCCAGCCAAGATAGCAAAGCTGAGACATGATATATCAGTATTCAATCAAGGAGAGACTGAATCATTTGATGAAGCCTGGAACAGATTCAAAAACATGCTCCGGAAATGCCCTCAGCATGGGTTCGATAAAAAGATCCAAATCCGCTTCTTCTACATAGGATTACTTCCATACCATAAGAGCATGGTAGATTTAGCATCAGATGGCTCAATATCTACAAGAACAGTTGATGGGGCATTGGAATTATTTGAGCGAATGGCTACCACATCAGCCATGTGGTCTTCTGAGAGGGCAACTCCAAAGAAAACTCCAGGTGTCTACGAGGTGGACGCTTATTCAGCAATCTCTGCAAAAATTGATTCTCTGTATCACAAGGTGGAGAGCATATCACAAGCTTCACAAGCTAAGAAGAGCAATTGTGAAGAATGTGGAGCCGAACATAAAACATCAGATTGCCCTATACTCATGCAAGGAATTGAGCAAGCAGACTACGCACAGTGGGGACAACGCCAGCAGAATAATCAATATGGTGAGACTTTCAATCCCAACTGGAAGAAACATCCCAACTTCTCGTGGAGCAACCAGAATCAGAATAAGCCACAGGAGCAGTTTCAACAACAGGAGAAGAGGCCTCAATTGGAAGATATGATAGGAAAGTTCATGGAGAAGGCCGAAGCTACACTTCAAAATCAAAATGCAGCCATCAAAAATTTGGAAACTCAGATGGGGCAGCTAGCCATCGCATTGACTGGCAGAACACCAGGTAACTTACCAAGTAATACAGAAATCAATCCTAAAGAGCAAGCAAAGGCCATTACAACTCGAAGTGGAGTTCAATTACCTAAAATTCATGTCAAGAGACCGGGAGTGATTGGAGAAACATCTTCCTCCGCTGAAGAGGAGACAGTTGTAAAGGAATCAAGTTCAAAGGAAAAGTCACAAGAATCACAAGTTAATGCCAAAGTCACAGTCAACCCCTACGAACCTCCGATTCCCTTTCCACAGCGTTTGAAGAAGCAAAAAGTTGAGCAACAATACAAAAAATTTCTAGAAATCTTCAAAAAGCTCCATATCAACATCCCGCTAGCAGATGCACTATTCCAGATGCCTAGCTATGCGAAGTTTCTGAAGGATATCATATCAAATAAACGCAAGCTGGAAGATCATGAGACAGTCATGCTTACTGAGGAATGTAGTGCCAGAATTCAAAACAAGCTTCCACCAAAACTAAAAGATCCAGTGAGTTTTACTGTTCCTTGCACAATCGGTGAAGTATATTTCGATAGAGCATTATGTGACCTCGTTGCAAGTATTAATTTAATGCCTTTGTCTGTTTTCAGGAAACTAGGATTGGGAGAAGTTAAAGCAACCACTGTGACACTTCAGCTGGCTGACAGGTCACTGACACATCCTAGAGGAATAATTGAAAATGTACTTATCAAGGTTGAGAAGTTCATATTTCCAGCAGACTTTCTTATCCTGGACATGGAAGAGGACAAGGACGTTCCCTTGATACTTGGCAGACCATTTCTGGTAACAGGGAGAGCATTAATAGATGTTCAAAGAGGTCAGTTGATTTTAAGATTGGGAGAGGAGCAGATATCATTCAATGTATTCAAGGCAATGAAGTTACCAGCAGAATCTGACAGCTGTTATCAAGTTGATATTATTGACAAGGCAGTACAAGAAACATTTTTACTACACGGTCAATCTGACGCCTATGAGGCATGTATTGCACAATCCCAATCAATCCAGTCAGAATCTGTTGAAGTTGAAACATGTGCAAGATTTTAGGTCGCCATACACACGAAAGAGACACTTCGAGGAACTGGGAACGGGAAACACAAAGCCACTACCTTCAGTTCAGCAGCCGCCAATTTTAGAACTTAAACAACTGCCGCCACATCTCAGATATGCTTATTTAGGAGAATCAGATACACTTCCAGTAATCATTTCGAACACAGTCAGTGAAATGGAGGAGGAAAAATTGCTCAGGGTACTTAGAGAGAGCAAGACGGCGATTGGTTGGACAATAGCTGACATTAAAGGAATCAGTCCTTCCATTTGCATGCATAAAATCTTAATGGAGGAAAATTGCAAGCCTAGCATAGAAAGTCAGAGAAGATTGAACCCGAACATGAAGGAAGTAGTCAGGGCAGAGATACTAAAGTTATTGGATGCAGGAATTATTTACCCAATTTCAGATAGTGCATGAATCAGCCCTGTTCAAGTGGTACCGAAAAAAGAGGGAATCACAGTGGTGAAAAATGAGAAGAATGAACTAATTCCCACTAGAACAGTTACGGGTTGGAGAGTTTGCATTGACTATCGCAAACTCAATGCAGCTACACGAAAGGATCACTTCCCACTGCCATTCATTGATCAGATGTTGGAGAGGTGGGCTAGACATTCACACTACTGCTTTCTTGATGGATACTCGGGCTATAATCAGATACCTGTCGCACCAGAGGATCAGGAGAAGACCACTTTCACTTGCCCCTACGGTACTTTTGCTTATCGTAGGATGCCTTTTGGTCTTTGCAACGCTCCAGCCACATTTCAGAGGTGCATGATGGCAATATTCTCTGACATGATTGAAAGGTTTATCGAGGTTTTCATGGACGACTTCTCAGTATTTGGATCTTCATTTGATGAATGTCTAAACCACTTGAATTTGGTCTTACAGAGATGCAAGGAGACTAACTTAGTTTTAAATTGGGAAAAATGCCACTTTATGGTGCAAGAAGGCATTGTACTTGGGCATAGGATATCAGCAAAAGGAATTGAGGTAGACAAGGTAAAAATTCAAGTGATTGAGAAATTACCACCGCCTACATCAGTTAAAGGAGTTCGTAGTTTTTTGGGGCACGCTGGGTTCTACCGGAGATTTATAAAAGATTTCTCGAAGATCACTAAACCTTTATGCAACTTACTAATGAAAGATGCAACTTTTGAGTTCAATGAGGATTGTCTCATAGCTGTCAACACTTTAAAGGAAAAGCTTACAACAGCACCAGTGATTGTAGCTCCAGACTGGGAATTACCTTTTGAATTGATGTGTGATGAAAGTGATCACGCTGTAGGTGCAGTATTGGGACAGCGGAGGAACAAGATTTTTCATGTGATCTACTATGCAAGCAGAACTCTAAATGATGCACAACTAAATTATGCAACCACTGAAAAGGAGCTGTTGGCTGTAGTGTTTGCATTTGACAAATTCAGGTCATACCTCGTTGGATCTAAAATCATCATCTATACTGATCATGCTGCATTGAAGTATTTGCTCACAAAGAAGGATGCAAAGCCGAGATTAATTCGCTGGGTGCTGTTATTGCAAGAATTTGACATTGAGATACGCGAGAAGAAGGACACTGAGAACGTAGTAGCAGATCACCTATCCAGACTAGAATCTGGGGAGACGAAAGATTTAGTGGATATAAATGAGATCTTCCCGGATGAACAGATGTTGAGAGTGGATGAAGCACCTTGGTACGCAGATATTGTCAATTACTTGGCCAGTTCCATTCCACCACCTGACTGCTCCAGTCACCAAAGAAAAAAATTCTTTGCCGAGTTAAAATACTATTTCTGGGAGGATCCAATTCTTTATAGGCGAGGAGCTGATCAGATAGTTAGGAGGTGCGTACCTAAAGAAGAAGTACATGAGATTCTCGAGTACTGTCACTCATCTGCATATGCAGGACACTTTAGAGCTTCAAAAACAGCTGCAAAGATTTTACAATCAGGTTTTTACTGGCCTACATTGTTTAAAGATACATTTGAGTTTGTTAAGAGATATGATAGATGTCAACGCACTGGGAATATCTCGAGGAGAAATGAAATGCCACTGAACAATATTTTGAAAGTGGAGATATTTGATGTTTGGGGAATTGACTTCATGGGACATTTTCCCCCTTCGTTCTCAAACCAGTATATCTTGTTGGCAGTCGATTACGTCTCAAAATGGGTGGAAGCAGTTGCATTGCCAACAAATGACTCAAAGACAGTAATTGGTTTCTTGAAGAACTACATTTTCACCCGATATGGTACACCGCGGGCTATAATCAGTGATGGGGGCAAGCATTTCTGTAATCGCCAGTTTGAGCAGCTACTGAATAAATATGGCGTTAAACACCGCGTTGCTACTCCATATCATCCACAAACCAGCGGGCAAGTTGAGGTATCTAATCGGCAGTTGAAGAGAATACTAGAGGTTACTGTGAATTCATCTAGAAAGGATTGGTCTAAAAAGCTGGACGATGCATTATGGGCTTACAGAACAGCATTCAAGACCCCGATTGGCATGTCTCCATACCGCCTAATCTTTGGGAAAGCATGTCATCTGCCATTAGAAATGGAGTATCGGGCATATTGGGCTATGAAACAATTAAATATGGACTTGAATGTCACCAGAGAAAAGCGTCTACTGCAACTGAATGAATTGGATGAATTTAGAATGGAGGCTTATGAAAATACAAAACTTTACAAGGAGCGAACCAAGAAGTGGCATGCTATGCACATTCAGAGGCGAGCGTTCGAAGTGGGGCAACAAGTACTACTGTATAATTCGAGACTCAAGTTATTCCCAGGAAAACTACGATCACGGTGGTCGGGTCCCTACACAGTTACAAAAGTTCTACCATATGGGGCTATACAAGTGAGCAATGAGAATAAGGGTACCTTCACTGTCAATGGGCAAATGTTGAAACACTATTGGGGCGGTAACTTCTCTAAACAAAAGTCAACCGTTCAACTCGAGACGCCAGAATGAAGCGGCCGCAGAAAAGTCGAGCTATCGACTATAACTTAGCGCTGGGTGGAAGGCGACCCACTGTATCCTTTTTATTTGTTTATTTACTTCATTATGTTTTCTGCATTAACTTAGGAAGTTTATGTTCACATTCATTTAGTATTCTGTTATGTGGTCATCACTCATCCAGGCACTTCAAAGAGTTCAAGCACTGTGCACACGAGTCATTAAGAATCACACACAAGTTCGGGTTGATTCACGTTGTTTTGGGTAGTTGACTGTGGAATTCACGTATTTCGAGGAATAATATGTTTTCTAAATTTCACATATTTTAAAAAATTGTTTCTAAACAATTTGGGGGCTTTGAGAGTCGGGTCTATTTTAAAAAAAAAAAATTTGTGTGCCTATGCGATTGCATAGACATGGTGTCTATGCGACCGCATTGCACCTACCGAAAGATAAAACCACCAAACCAACATACCTATGCGACCGCATAGGTTATAACTATGCGGCCGCATAGGTAGAAAAAGGTGTGGGTTTTTAACCCACACCCGAATCATTTGCCAAGGGTCCCAATATAATTTTTGACCTTTCACTCTCCTCCCAAATCGATTTTCGACTAAAATCACACACCAATCCATTCGTTGCATTGTGCTAACATTGATAGGAAATCCATTCTCTCCATTGATTAAACTCTACAAAGAAAAAGGTATGGGTTCTTTCACCACTTCCTCAATTCATTTTCGGTTCTATTCATTATAAATGTAATTTTGGCGAATTGAAGAAGATTAGAATAATTTTTGTGCATATGGATTGATTGTGCTTGTGTTATGCGATACTTTGGAATGATTCTAAATCAAATTTCATTCAATTTCCACCATTTCCACTCTATGCATGCAATGTGTGTGATAAATTGCCAAATTGATTATTTTTGGGTATTTTGGTATCTTTTGCCTTCAATTCATTTGATTGATGGGTGTATATGCGCGTGGTGATTGAATTTTGAATGGGGAACTATGTGAACTAATCAATTTTTGGCTAGTATATGAAGATCTCACATTGCACACAACATGTTCGATAAAATGCACATTGGTAATCTATTACATTTACAAACATCTAGCATGGCATTTGACTATTCGATGAATGGAATAATTCGTTGTGACGTATTACCAAACAATATGACTTAGACAACATCAACACATACATGCACAAAAATAGCTAAGTCATAGCATGCCCAAGCACCCTCCGTCCCTTATTTTACACTACTATTTGACACACCAAACGACCTCCGATTGAGTTGAAATTTGGATATATGCTAAACCTCATTGCATACTTCCATATGCCTGGAGGTTGCTCGGGACAATCTTGATAATTCTCGATGGTGCCCGGGGCCGAAGGTGTACACTCAACCATGATTCCAACCCTTTAACTATGAGCATATTCTCCCAAAATTTTCTTATATTTTCATATAGACTATACATTTATACTACTCTAATCATCCTACATTGTTCATTACACCGTGGTAGTATACATGCTTATTGAAACAAGTTTGGGGGATTTGTGCTTTACGTGCTTTTCATTTCATGCGATTTCTCATTATATAACAAGATGACTAATGCTAGCTATTTTCCAACCTTGCAGGATGCCACCAAAACGAACTTCAAAAGGGAAGGAGAATGTTGGCTCATCATCCAGCACAGCACGCACTCGCGTGCTTGAAGGGGGTATACAAAGATTTTTGACTGCCGAGGCAGCAGCCCGTTATGAAAACATAGTGAGTCGTTGGACAGTGACACCAGAATGGGCTGTTAAGTTGGAAGACTTTCCTGGTTTCGAGCTGACTACTTTGGTGCAGAACTGTGGTTGGAATAAAATAGTGGAGCAGCCACATCGGAGTTATGAATTGTTGGTGGGGGAATTTTACGCCAATTTCAATACAGAAATTGACACACCAGGGTCCGATCACCTACATCAGACTTGGGTCCGGAGAAAATGGATCACATTCTCACCCGAAGTTATTCAAGACTACTACCAGCTCACGTGGGAAAACATAATGCCTGTACCAGGTGACTTCAATTGGCCTGAAGTGGCGGAGATCTTATTGGGGCGACAGAATGCATGGCCACTTCCCACTACCGAGTGGCATCAGATTGAGCTTACATCGTCTATAGCAATCCTATGGCTGTTTATGTGCCACAATATTGAGCCTACCTCTCACAAGACCACATTCACAGATCCCACAGCTAGATTCCTTTATCACTTGGTGCGAGGTAATAAGGTTGATCTTGCCACTCTTTGCTATGATCAGATACATCATGTGGGTACTTTGGGAGATAGACACAGCTCAATGATCTTCCCAAGCCTCATCTCTGGAATTTGCATAGCTGCTGGTATAAACATTGTATCCGGGGAGGTGGCTGCCAAACCTAGCTCCACCATAAAGCGAAGTACTTTGGAGGCCCAAGACAGAGCCAGGTTAAAGCATTGGGAGAAGCAAGAAATTGAGAGGCGCAGACAGCAGGGAGAGCAAGGTCACGAGCAAGCCGAGCAAGAAATGCCTCAAGCTCATCCATCACAGGCTGAGTTTAATGCACAGTTGTGGCGCCAGATTTTCACCACCACCACGGGGATCAGCCGAGACGTGCAGAGTCTCCAGCAGGCTATGGGGACTTTGACGACTGAGATGCATACAGCCCACCATGACATCCGCATTTCCACTGATATGTCACGTGCTGCTCGCCAGGATGCCCAGGCAGCTAGGAGGGAGATGAACACTATGAATGATCGACTCAGTGTGTATGTGGGCATGGTGGATGGCATCCAGATGAGGGTAAATGAAACTTGGGAGCGTTTGGGCGGGTTGGAGACACGTGTTGAGGGAATCCACGACGAAATGACACAGCAGTCAGCACTGATGAGAGAGATCTTGGCGCGCCTACCTCCACCTCCAACTGATGATACTGCAGGCTCTAGCTTCCCACCGCAGCCCCCGTTTTGATCAGGGGAGTATCGTTTGCCTAATTTGTATTCATTTTCCTTAAATTCTGCCTTCTAAACTTATTTTTCACATTGTGGACAATGTCTTGTATAAGTTTGGGGGATGGTGGCATAATTTGATTAAGACATTCGGCATGTAACTAATTGCATTTCCGCAATCTAGATTTATTTTGACTAATTGCTGCATGAGACATGCTTGTGAGTGAATATTGATTATGCTTATGTATGCTTGTGTGAGCTTAATCGCCTTGCCGGCTATAATGTTACTATTGGATTGGTACATTTCAGAACTTTGGGGTCGGTGCTAATTAGGCTAACCTATACTTGTTGATGCAATACTTGACATTCTTTATACACGTCATTCATGCTTGATATGTTAGGTCAGTGATTGGGGTTTTGAGCAATAAGTAGAGAGATAGTTATAACCCTCTATTGAATGAACCCGTAAAATACCTTAAGACAGTTTGGTGATAGTTGAGCTATTATAGGAGAACATTGAAATGAGTGAGGCTCCGTGCATGAATTATTGTGTGGATTGCCTAGACCATTGGGATGAAGAGTAGGTGAAAATCTTAAATTGAGGGTTAGTTTTGGATACCAAATGTCTAGAAAAATAAGGGCATGAACTTAATTTGTGAGAATAAGACACTTCTTTTTCAGCCTTTATGACTCGAGCAAGTAAGCCTATAAGGATATTTCAAAATCTAGTGCCCTAAGGTCAACTGATCTGGGAATCACCGGCCTAAAGCTCGATACATGGGTCATATAGAAAGCAAGAAGTAAAAAAGTTAATAAAAAGTCATCTGATCGAGCCTTTATAACTCGAGTGAATAAGCCTGCAAGGGTCTAAAATTTGGTGCCCTAAAACCAACTGGTTTAGGAGTTACCGGCCTAAAGCTCGTTACATGGGTTATATAGAAAGCAAATGAGAAAATAATAAAAAATAATAATAAAATAAAGTGAGAAAAACAAAAAGAGACAATAACAAGAAGAAAAGCCCTTGGACAATTGGTGGAAGAAACTATACCTTTGAGGCGAGGCAAGTAACCTAGTTTAGTCTTGAGTGTCGAAGCAATCAAAACTAGGAGAGCCTTCACTTGTTGATGTGTGAACTTGTGATAGTGAAATTAATCCAAACTACGAGAGGGTGAGAACTAAAGCTAGGTAAACTCATAATTTTTAAACACAACCTCGGGATAATTGAGTGAAAAGAATAAGTTTGGGGGGTTGTGTATCTCTCGAGCGAGAAAGGAAACATTTGACCACTTGGGGTCGGGACTCAAACTCATCATGAACTTGATATGTTAGCATGAATCCACACACACACACGTCAAGTATGCACTTAACAGGTGAAGGTTGATGTCATCTTGCACTGATAAATTTTCATAAAATCAATTACTTAGTCCAATCCTGAGCCAATGCAAGGTGTTAAGCCATGTTTGTTCAGAATTATATCACTATCTTGTTTGAAGACAAACAATAGTTCAAATTTGGGGGGTTTGATAAGTGTGTTTTTGCACACTTATTTACATTACAAACATGACTTAAATACAGGTAAATTGATTTAATTGTTACTTAACCTTGTCAAATTCATGCAATGTAGGAAATTCTATGGAAATAGTAGAATTAAGGAGAAAAGAGCAGAAAAAGGACCAAATTGAAGCAAAGAGAAAATTTAGGGACCAAATTGTAATTATCTGAAAGTTGATCCGATGAACACATCAAGCAATTGATCAAGCCAAGCACCAATTGGAAGTTATAAGGGACCATTGGAGCAACTAGGAACAAGAGAGGAGGTCAAGGAGTGAATGAATGAAACTTGAGGACCAAAATGATTCAAACAAGAAAGTAACTCCACTATGCGGTCGCATAGTATAAAACCTATGCGACCGCGAGTGAACCTCCAGGGATTAAAAAGGACGTTTTCCTTAAACCTATGCGGTCGCATAGGTATAAATTTTCTCGAATTTTGCACTTTCCTTATACGATTGCAACTCCTTTGATAACCTAATTTGGACGGGTTTAAATAGCAACAAGACGTCCAAAAGCCGCACGAACGACTTGGGAGGCAAAAGCATTCATTCTTGGAGTGGAATTGAAGGCAAGAACAAGCAATTGATGCGAGATTTACGAGAATTCTTCAATCTTTGATAACCCGGTGATGTATTTTAGTTTTATTTTGTTAGTTTTCGTTATTTTTATCATGATAGGCTAGATTTTTGCAACTAGGTGATCGATGAACCATGTAATTTTCATTAAATTTGCTATTTCATGATTTTGAATTATTAGTTTGATGTATATTTGAATGGATTATATTAGTTTATTTATTTCCACAATTAATGTGCACTTGATTTGTGTGAATTTGGTGGTTTAATTCTGAATTTGAGAAAATTAGATTAGACTCGACATATATAATTCATCATAGGGTCTGATAGGGGATAGAAATATACCCCTATGCCCTATGTAAATTTTTAATTGCTCACAAAAAGATTATATGCGTTCTTGTAAAATTGCATCCGTCATAGAGATATAGGCTGGTGATTTATGAGAATATGTTCAATACATCTCGAGAGAGAGTATTGAATAGATTTAGGAGTATTGATTTATCAAATTCTTATTGAATTATCAAAATTGTGAAATTAGGGTTTAATTGGTAATTATTTGGGGATTCGTGATCCTAGTGCATTTGTTTTACATAGATTTTCATAAATTGACAATACATTTCATTGATTGTTCATAACATTTCGTAATTGAGTCATTAGTTAAGTGAATTTAAGTAATTAGGGTTTGATTTGAAATTAGGGGTTTTCAATTTGGGGATTTTCCCCAATTTAGGGTTTTTATTGAAATTATGGTTTTTCAATTTGGGGATTTCTCCCAAAATTAGAGTTTTTGATTCCAAAATTCATTTCAACTCAATTAGTTTCGGTTAAGGCTAAAATAAGTAAAATTAAATTAACCAATCTCTGTGGGACGATATTCGGACTCAATTGATCCACTTTATTACTTGTTAACGAACCGTACACTTGTGGTAATTTAAATCGAAAGAAATATTTCGCGAACATGTTACAAAAGGCCTTTTTCTTCCTTCCAGCGTAAGGAATTGTGACTAGCTCAACGTAGTCCTGAGCTGACTACATCGCTCAAGGCAATACAAGACACGAAATGAAAATCTCTACTTAAAGTGATGTGACAAGCAAGTGCATCAAGCCAAGACACCGACGTACTTCGGCTTGATTAATAATCTAGGTTTTGTTGTGCAGTTGACAAGAAAATATCTGACGATTTCCACTGTCTACACAGAAAATACAACCGTCTTACTTGAGAAAAAACAAAAAAAAAAAGTTATAAATTCCAATTATTCCAAAATCAGCTGGCACTCCAGTTTATATCAAGTGGCGTGGCAACGATATTATAGGGTTGACCCCGTCGTGTGCTATAATTTGCCGTAAAGTTTGACACTGACCCCATTGCAATATGAAGTCGACCTAAGAGGCGCCCAAACGGCCAAAGTAATAATTCATTCACGCTTTAATGTTTGACAGTCACGTTTACAAGTTTGCATATATGTGGACACTCACATCTATACTAATAATTTGTTTCAGGCCATCGATTGAGATCTTTCCCCATTGTCAGAATATTAATCCATTAAAATCAGATTATTAATAGATTTTGATCAAAGCTGATGAAATGTGTGATCGTAAAGTTGTGGGTCCTATAAAATATGTTGTTAAAATTAATTGTTTATTTTGATTTGAGATTTTAATTCAAACCGAACATGGGCTAAAGTTCAAAGTTAACGAGGATTGTAACTTGAATTGATGTTAAATATCGCTGTCGATAGATAGCATTATTATTCTGCGATTACTAAGACTATTTTTAACATTTCTTGCACATATTAACGTGTCACGACAATCCGACTTGTTGACAATTCTACATCTTTAATGAGCATAAGAGTGTAGGGGCCCAGAGAGGGGGACCCGGGCTAAGCCCATTTCGATTTTTTCATGTAATTTTTTTTTTTATTCCCTATATCCGTCTAGTACTTTTTTTTTTTCGGTCCCCCATCTCTGCCCTTGTGTCCTACCTATTTTGTTTGTACCAAAAATCTAATAAATACTAAAAGCAAGTATAGATTCAATGTATTTTCCCATTGTAAAGCAAAATATTCTATTGCTTGAAACCACCATTCATTCTTCATTCTTGCATGTCAAAATATAATGATAGCTATATATAAATAGTTACTGTAGCAGCCGACTTGACCAGTTATAATGTTATATAAAACTTCTTTAATTAATGGATTGCTCGAAGTTTAAATTAACACGCTTCTTGATAATCAAAATGTTTCAAAGGAATGGTAGAGTTAGACTTTCGACAAATGAATACAAATTGAAGGAAGAAAACAAAACGACGACTTCGAAAGTATTCAGCTTTCTAGATTGTCTTACAGTAGCAAATATCTTTTTTCTCTTTTATCGTGGTTTATACTCATTTGAATACTCCAAAGTCTCGATAAGAAAGAAGCATTTTCAGGATTCTACCATCTAGTCAATTTTGTCATACTTAATCCCTTTTTATCTTTCGTGACTACATATATTTTCGGCTAAGGAATGAGATGTTTTTACAAGTGCTATTTTTCGTGAAAGCACACTGGCCAAACGTTTAATATTCTTTTTGCTTTCCTCTCTTCTATTCTCAGTATTAATTCACATTTAGTCCCCCTTAAGAGCAGTTGTATTCTCGAGTCATGCATTTGTGCTTACACATTGCTAAAAATAGTTGAAAAAACACGCTTTAAAGCAGACAAAGATGCTCACGTATTTGCAAAATTTTGAGTATCGAATTCAAATGTGATCAAGAGCCAAAGAGCTACTACAATCAACATATGATCACAAAGAGTACAACTAGGACGAAAAATATATTTCTTACATTGAAGTCGTCATCCCTTTTTTTCACAAAATCAACCAATTATGAATCTATCTACTAGTACATCAAATTGTCCGTATAAATATCACCATGGAAAGATTCTCTCTTCAATTTGAGTCTAAAATGTCTTCTTCATTTTATCTATTTGCTTCCAGTTTCAGATCTTTAGACTTCTCATTCTAATACTTGGTAAACTCACAGACAAAATTGTTCGCATGAAAGTCACTTGGATAATAAAACAAAAAATTGATGGAACGAATAATTTGAATTCGTGCAGATGACCCGACCCTACGGTTTACTTAGTCAAGTCAAACACTGAATAATAAATTAAAGAACTGAAGAAGCTGACGAAAAAGCATATTCCTTCGATTTGAAGTTAAGGTTCATCTTCCAACCGAAGCCGAATTCGATGACCATGCGACTTTCTTTACTTCGTTACGTTTTCACACTTGTTTTATATATATACATAAAGATACAGAGAGAGAGGGAGGGGGAGAGGAAATGACACGCGACCTTGCTGGTACATGTGGATACTGATACGTCTTCTAGATTTTTGAGTGCAATTTGACGAACTTGGGAAATGCAAAAGGACATCTGATATAGCTTTCAACTCAAGTATGGGATTTCCATCTCACTTAACTTTGGTAATTCATCTTTTATCTTTCTTGTTCTCTAGATTTATTGGCAAATTAAGCAGATAAGTATGATACTTTGCGTCATCCTAGTATATTGTCCGAAACTTCTTCCTCGGGTTTTGACGAAAACTAGAGAACATAATCTGTTCATTTCGCAAGGATTGAGTGCTCCTACCCCTTCCTCTTTAAGACAATAGTTGTCTCATTCTTCAACTCTGTATTCTATTGATTATCTTTTGAAAAATATGTACATAAAGATAAAATATTGTAACATTTGTTCTATTCAAAACAAATCAATGTTTTAATTAAAACCAAGGTCCCGCATTGAAAAGTGTTATCATAGAATATAACAAGGATTAAGCCCCGTTTGACACACATTAATGTAAAAATGAGAATGAAAAATATAGTCGTTATGAGCCCATACAAAATATAGAAAGTCAAATATGGTGACTTGATGTGATGGATAACGGTCATATTTTTCATTTTAATTGACAAATAATGGGAAACAAACGGGGGCTAAAATTATTCAAGTAGTTGTAAAATTTCTAGAGACATCATTTCTTGATGAAAGTTTTACACAAATTATCAACGTATTAATATTTCATGAGCCCCTTTTTTTGCAAATATTTTTCTAGATTTTACTTAAAATCCACAAAATTGCAAACCCACACATCATGCGAATTAATAAAAATTGAATCTTGTACAGTTTGTCATTCCTCCATTTATATGCAAAAATCATAAACTTTTTTTTTTCATAGAACAAGAATACTATGATTTGGTTACATGAAAATGAGTAATGTTATTCATAGTAAAGACTACAGGTACTCACTCTATGTGATATATACTTGACAATTTGTTGTTTAATGCATTAATAAGATAGTTTTTTTTTATTATCTCATCAATCAAATAACAAATTGTCATGTATATGCCATGTATAATGACTACCAGTAGTTTTCACTATGAATAACATTATTTCATAAAGATATACTGATAATCAATGATATTCTCTACATCTTTCATTAAAATGTTATAGCACACGCATACATACATTGGAGATGTGTTGGAAGAAAGCCTAGATTTATTAAATGCCACATTTTAAAGCAGTTCACTGTGTAATAGGAAAAAGTTGTCAATTTTAGGGAAAAAAAAGAGAAGTACTAGTATAAAATAATCAACCATGTTTGGCTAAGCCAAACGTGTACTTCTTATCAAACCTACCTAGTCTGTAATGAAGTATTTGACTCGAAGGCTTCTTATTACTCCTTCCTTGCAGAATCAAATGTTCTAAAGATATGCATGTTTATTGTTAATTGCTTTCCATCTATGAATTTAGAGAACTTCTAAAGACGAATGATGACATACCTAACTGAAAAATCAAATAAAGTTGTAGCTATTAAGAGAGGATGGAACTAAAAATATTATTTCCAATTATTTAGATCACAAACAAACTTAGGTCATGATATATGTCCCCCGTGTTTTCTGTTGAGTACTTGAAAACTTTTAATTTAGACAAGACAAAAATTGCAAGCTTAAACGTCAAACTTTAGAAGAAAACTTACAACAAACAAAAATTTTCCGTCTGATCATGAATCTTCATCTGATCCTCTTACAAGAGCACGTAAAGTCTATCTTCTTGAAAGACTGGTGCTATCCAATTCTTCCCAATTTTTCAAAGAATCGGCACTAGAAGTTCCAAATTGTGATTGAAATCTCAGAACCTCTTGCTCTTGTTGCTGGTTTTGTTGTTGAGTTGGCAATACTGGAGATATCGTTGTTGTATTTGATGAAGATTGTGAAACAAATGTTCCACCACAACCACGATAATAAAACCCCGAGGCACCATAGTTCAAAAAATTATTATTAACTCCTCTATGGAGATATTCTGCATAGTTCTGGAAATTGATATGACTTTCTTGAGATACCGGCCGAGGGATTGGAGTAGTAGTTGACTCAGAAACAATTCGTAAATCTTGACGCGTTGTTAAGTAACCACACTCAGTTTTTCCTTGCACTCTTTCAGGAAAATTGATCTTAGCTTTGCTTCCTTTAAATCTTAGTGCTGCTTCATCATAAGCATGAGCGGCAGCCTCTGCAGTGTCAAATGTTCCAAGCCAGACTCTTGCAGCCTTCTTTGGATCCCGGATTTCGGCCGCCCACTTACCCCAAGGCCGCTGCCGGACACCTCTATACCGTCTTCTCCTCTGCAGGTTTGGTCTCCCTTTATATAATGTTTGATCAGTAAAAAATTAGGAAAAAAATCATTTGCTGCAAAGTTCAACTGTAGATAATCCTAGAAAAATTACATATCCATATGCCCCTATCAAATAAAAAACAGACACATCAAACAACTGATGCATGATTAAAATGACATAAGATGTTAAGGATTAAACCCCGATTGTAATTAGGGGAGAAATATTATGCAAAACGAGATCTGAAAAGTATATAACCAAACACAGACTTAGAGTGGTTAGCCCTCAAAGAGCTAGTGTCATTTGCTGCTGCAAGTTTTTACTACGAAGAAGATGATTACGATGGTAATCTCTTGCATCTCGGTTTGTCTCGCAAAAAAATAATCCTCTAAAGAATCCCTTATTATATAGAAAGATGTTAGGTCGATTCCTGGTCGAAAGGATTTGCGATCTATATATATAGATATATACTCGTACGTTTTATACCTTCTTGTTGAACTGCTGGTTGAGGTTGGTTTTGCTCTTGTCCACTTGAAGATTCAGGCAGTGGTAATGGAAGATTTCCATATACTGTAGGAACTGCAGGATTACTGTCTGAGTTACCAATAACATGAGAGAGGGCAGAAACCATGGCTGACGTTTCGCGTTGTGATCTAGCAGAGTAGATAGGGTACAGTTCTATTCTCTCCTTTTCCTCCGATTCATCAAACGGAAGGGGCCTCTTCGCCATGCCTTCGATCCACTGTTTTCCCCTTTAATTATGACAGTGAAGTACTTCAAAGAGAATACGTATAAATTACAGGCTGAAGAAGGAGATTTTAGAGTTTTCTACATGATATACAAGATGTCAGTAAGCTTTAGTAAGGATGGAAATCAAGAAGGAATTTCTAGGGTTTTCTAAAACAGCTGCAGTATCTGTGGAAATTAGGAATGTTTGATCGTACTTTTGCAAACCTATGACTCGTGTTATTTCCTAATTAATAACTGAGTTCATATTTTGTCAAAATATCATTTTATTGCACCACTTTTTATTTGCATAATTAGTCTTCAATTTTTATTTATTGTCACGTTCTTATCCTCACTCTTCTAGTAATTAGCACATTTGATCTCGTTGTTGGTTTCTGTCCAAATATTCGAGTAAATATTTTATAACATTTTGTATTTATTATTATTATTTTTGCTTATTTACGTTATTTTATGCCCTTCTAATGAATTGTTCGGACAAAAATCGTTAGTGTTCGCATGATATGCTAATTAATGATAATTGATGATGGGACGATAAAAAATTAGATATTAATGTGAGAATGGAAAAATATTTAAAGCCTTTAGCGCAATTAAAAAGTGACGAAACAAAAGAAAATTATGGTGGAATTATGTAACCACCTTGATAATTATTAGGGGCAAACAAACACACGGCTTATAAATCTAGACCATTTTTTAATTTTTTGTCTTTGAGATTTTACTTTTATTGAAAACAAGAAAAAAAACCAATATTTTAAAAACTTTTGAGCATTAACCTAAAATGCAGGCACAAAGGTTAAAAAATCGAATCGATAGTTATAAGAAAATTACATAAATTAGTAAAATTGAAAATTGGAGTGAACTTAATATTTCTAAGCGAATCATTTTGTTTTGGTGCTAGAGAATGAACAAAGTGGTTCTCAACTTCTTTTTACGAGTTATATATGTTTGAGTTTTTAGATTTAATCAATTTGAAATTTGGAGTATCTTTTGATTTTTTCAATCGAAGTCGTTTGCCCTGTTCACTTATTATGGCATTGGAAAAATCACGAGAAGTCAGCTCAGAAACAAAGAAATCGTCACTAGAAGCATAAAACCACTTTAGACTAGTCGTTCATTTCAATTATAATGAAAAATTAAATCGAGGGAAAAACCCGCTTTTTTGGTTTGCAAAATACAACTAGAGACAACAATTAATCTAGGAAGTATTTTAATTGTTCGGTGAATTTAGCCTCAAATTTATAAATGGTCAATCATACGTTTTAATGGATCCACAAGTATTATTCATTATTCATTTCAATCTACTTATAATCAAATCATTTATAAATTCTTCCCAAACAAAGGCTTAGTTAGTACCTTCCCAACATGTCAATAATATCAGAGAAACAGGAAATTATAGAAATGAAGAAGAATAAAATTTGTTCTATAATTTTAATTTTAATTGTTTCGCGCGCAGCTTTTTAAGGTAAAATAAAATCAATGGCAATGTTAGAGCCATTGCAATAAAATATTAGAAAATAGAATATTGAAAATCATGTTTTTAAGAGGGAAAAAAAAAACATTGTGGTGACTGGAAGTCAATGGTACAAATATATAGAAAAAAACTAATCTTCTTTCAAAATATGCAGTATTAAGTAAAAGATTTCGAGCAATTATTTCAAGTTTTTCCCTTCCTCTTAACAAGGAGAGAAAAGATTTCACCCCTCCCTCCTAAACAATTTTAATATTTTTGCATTGTGGTCAATTATCAATTTGCTACTGGTTGATACTGGTGTTTGATTATAACTTTAAAAAAATAAAAATGGTTTAAAAGTTATGTATTGAGCGTAATAATCGTGGAGTCATTCTGTGGACATAAGATTCTAATAGAGAGAAATAACATATTATATATATAATATTTTAACACGTCTCATTAATTTCAACTTTTATGCACTTACGATTTCAAGATTTCTTATTTCAAACATGCTACAGGCAGAACATGTTTCATAGCTTTACTGACAGCTCTCTCACATGAGAGAGTGGGACCCACGATTATTTTAATCATAGACCCCACATTTTGTAAAAGGGCTGTCAACAAAAATTGCTGTACACTTAGCATTTTTTTTCCTTATTTTCACCCTCACAACTAAATTTGTCCCCGTCAAATAAAAAATTAAATAAATGCATGCCTCAACACAATATTTTAAATGGTGCAAAAATTGAGGTCTAGGCAAGAGGTAGGCGAGGCATGAAAAAAGTGATAAACTCTAGAAGATGGAATTAATAATCATAGAATAAAATATATTAAAATAAAAAAAATATTTAAACTCGTAAAATTTGAAATTTAACTTTACAGTTTACCACGCCTTGTGACTTTTAAAACTTTGTATTCCTTTGAATTTAGCGAATTACTTATTTATTTATTTTATTATTATTATTATTTTTTCGAATAAACCCGTCAACCTTTTTCAAAATATAAATCCTACTGTAACTATGCGAGAAAGAGAATAAAGGGAAGGGATGAAAGTCAAATTAACTTTTTCTTCAAGCCTGACTTCGCAGTGAGAAAATTTTCCGAGTTTTGCTAAAAAACAGGGCCACGTAGGTCCTGTTTGAGAAGAATTGTTCATTTTTTTCTTGGCCTTTTCTTCCTTTCCAGTTTCAAGTAACGATGACTTTGACTTTTAGACAGCCTGTTCTACGTTGCAGATTTTCTCCTTACATTAAAATTTCAAATCAAAATTAATAATTAATCTACATTAAAATTTACTAAAAAGATTTGATTTTGATCTACATTGAACAGAGGCTCTATGTGATTTGAATTTCAGATTGCAATAAAAAGTTTCTGAGGAAAAAGAAGCGAATAAAATATTTTCTTGCTTTACTTAGAAAGCGTCAATACAAATAAATAAACTTTTTATTTCATATTTACCTTAGTGAATGTTGAGTTTAGAAGTAAAACAAATATCTTTTAGAAGTAAATTTTTATTGAGAAAAAAGATATTAATTTTTTCTCACCAATAAGTAAAAATACACATTTATTAATTTCAATCGTGATGTATAGAGACACTTTCATGGTAAGTAATTTACTTATTTATCACTTCGACCAATAAAAATGCATTTATTTCAATGTTTACATATTACTTACAAAAACTTATTTAGCTGTCATTATTTAGGAAAAACAATGTTTTAAATAATGATTTTTAAAAGAACGTGAGATTAAAAAGCAAGAAAAGGTTTAGAATTTTCTTACAAGGTATTTTACCGTGTGAATGTAAATTTTTTTTCAAATAATGTCGAATAGAGCTTAGAATCAAATTTTTAAGCCTTGTGAGGTGGATCACTTAAATCCACTTGACACAATAATTGGTGTTGAGCACTTTGAAAAGATTGTGCTAGTTGATGGTATTATGGATCATAGATTAAATCCAACGGTTGGATTTGGCTGGATTTAATCTTGTGGTCAATTACCCTACTGGTCATGTCCCTTTCATAATACAATATTTGAATTTAAATTTAAATGGTTTTGACTCTATAATTATAATTTGCGTTCACTTGTTTTCATTTTGGACTTGGAGAGTTGGAAAATATAGAGAGAAGCTAAGTGGAAGAGGTACATATCTCATGTGAAATTCTTGGTTGCTTCTGGCAGTTCTCTCGATATATCCATTACTATTCCTGTGGACAACGACATATAATCCATTGGCATAAATTTGAGCTCAATATCATAGGACGCTACATTGGTGTGTTGAAGAAGCTTTGGCTCGATTGTTTGATTTTTACACTTCGAGAGTTGATGTTTCCGTATTATAGTTGTAATAATTATTTATACACTACACTTTAAACTCTAGAAATGATATCAGAACTTAGGCTAGTGGTATAAAGTGTTAAAACAACATGAAAATCGAATTTGAAGTCGAAGGGGTTCATGTTTGGTGGTTTGGTTGAAAACTAGCAAACCTGAATCTTTAAACCCATGTTCCGGAAAAACCACGCACCTGGTGGACAAACAGCGATCACAACCAAACACCAAACGACAAGCAGAATCTGATGGTGCTACGCATGAGACACACTCGTTGAGTGCGTGAGATAGATGGAGCGTAAAAGCGCCTGAAGAGGATTCAAGCAAATGTGGAAAAAGATAGATTGTTCTTTGATGAATTTCTGACCTCCTGATGGTGTTGGAATTCAATTTGGTGCACTGTGGAAGCAGATATAGCCTTAGGTAGAAAGTTGAAGTTGAGAAAGCTTTCCCATTGGTGACACAGTGGTGTTTTCTGGGGTTGCAGCAGCTGTTGGACGACTTAAGGTAGTTAGTGGAGGTTTTAGATCGATAAAAACTCGTATCTCTCCTTAAAATACGAACTGACAGTTTGGTTCGCTCGGTTTGCGCGTTCTAACACCCTCTCGAATTTACAATTGAATATTGTATTATTTTCTACCATATTATTATTTGACTCTTATGATATTGTTTATGTGCTACTTGTTATGATATCATCGCTTGTGTTATCTTGAAAAGTAATTTATACATAATTGGTTTGAGTTTGCATTTGTGTAGGTAAATTGTTAAGTAAAACTTTTTTTCCGAAAAATATTATTTTGCTGCCATGGCCTCTTGAGTTGAATTGGCGCAATTCAATGGTAAGAGAGATTATTCCATTGAAAGCAAAAAAATGAGAGGTATTTTAATTCAACAAAATGTTTCTAAAGCCCTTGAAGACACAAAAAAATATCCTGGTGCATTAAAAGTTAAACCGGATAAAATTACTGAGATGAATGAAATTACACTTAGTTTGATTATATTGCATTTATTTGATGATGTGTTAGGACAAGTTGAACAAAATAAGACTACCAAATAGTTGTGAGAAGCATTTGACAAGCTATTTTTGGAAAAATCTCTTCCAAACAAAATACATTTGCTTCAAAAACTGTTCAATTTTAAGCTGAACCCGGAAAAGGATCTTGAATCCAATTTGAGTGACTTTAATATATTCATCAAGTGCTTGGCCCACAATGATAAGAAATTTGATGACGAGTATCTAGCGATTATACTTTTGAATGCTACGCCCAAATCCTATAGAGATGTTAGGCATGCTATCACGTATGCTATGGATACTTTGACCCAAGATATTGTAATTGATGCTTTGAGGGCTAGGGAGCCAAAGCTTAAGAAGAGTCTATGGGTAGCTTGAGAGAAGAGAGTTTGTTTGTTAGAGAAGGAATGAAACGAGGGAAACCCACTTTCAAAGTCAGAAGGGCAAAGGAAAATCGAATGGTAGGTTTAAGTCTAGAGATAATAATGGTAAGAAATGCTTCTATTATGGCAAGTTAGGACATTTCAAGAGAGACTATAATGACCTTAAAAATAAATAATGACCGCATCACGGTGATGATTAGAACTTAGTTGTTGCATGTGATTCCTTGATTGTCTACATATTATGA